CCCCAAAGATACAAAGAAAACAAACCCCGAACATTTTACCCATATTAAAGGACATCTATGTTTAGGGCTGCGTAGTGTTTCAACAAAAATCAGTGTCTGCTGAACATGCAAATGGCTTTACAAGCAACAAAGTTAGTGCTGTAAGAAAAAGACATTTTATAAATGTTTCTTGATGTCAATTACATATTACAGATTGAAAACTGAAATTAGGGAGCAGGATGTATTTACTTCTCTGAAAGAGGTCACTATTCCCAATCTGTAGTTAACAGAATGGTTAATAGGAAAGCGTGTACTAAATGAAAAGACAGCAGCAAAAAAAGCAGATCTGAATTCATTTGGAATCAATTAATCTGGAAACAGCTTTAATAAAAAGCAGTCACAGTCCTGGGATGTTCAGCTACGCCAGTTAATTAGCCCTGTAAAGAGAGGGCAAAAACACTATTCAAAAATGAAGCACAATAGTGAACCTTAAAGAAAGGCAATACAAAACAAGTCTCAACAAAAACGCGATGAGAATTCATGTTCCCCGTGGCACTCTCCATAGCTTCTGAAAGTGCCTGCTGCTGGCAATGAATGAAATAAAAGGGGAGGAGGGAGAGCAGAGAGAAAGAGGTGTTATCTTACCAGCTGACAGCTTATTGCTCCCCTCCCTTCATGACGCTGGGAACTCACAAGCCTATAAAATGTGTCTTGGCTCCCAGTCCCTTTCTCTTTCAGCAAAACCAAAAGCAAGAGGTGGCCACAGAGAGGAATGGGATGCTGCTCTACCCTGAGGTATCTCTCCTGACTCAGCTGGCACAGCATTTCTAACAGTTTGAACACTATAGCCAAAGCTGTTTCTGACTGATCTCTCCTTCCCAGTACCTGCTGTGCTACCTGCCTTCCTTTTTTTCTTCCCTTCTTTTATCCGTTAGTGGGGATTTTGGAGGGTTGGGAGAGGGAGGTGGGAGAGGCACACCATTCCTGGAAGAGAAGAGAGGTACATCCAGGATGACTGCTGACCCCACAGCCCACTGGAACGTGAGCCTTGCTGCAGCGGGTGATCCCTGGGGACCGGTGCCGGGAGCGTCAGCCGGAAACATTTCTGCACCTATAGCATCCTCAGCAGCCAACTTCTCCAACCAGTTTGTGCAACCCTCTTGGCGCATTGCCCTGTGGTCTCTGGCTTACGGTGGTGTGGTAGCAGTGGCTGTTTTTGGAAATCTCATTGTCATCTGGATTATCCTGGCTCACAAGCGCATGAGGACGGTGACCAATTACTTCCTGGTGAACCTGGCCTTCTCCGATGCCTCCATGGCTGCTTTCAATACTCTCATCAACTTCATCTACGCGCTGCACAGCGAGTGGTACTTTGGAGAGGCTTACTGCCGCTTCCACAACTTCTTCCCCATCACAGCTGTCTTCGCCAGCATCTACTCCATGACAGCGATAGCTGTGGACAGGTGAGAAAAGAGAGGAAAAGTTTAGGGGTGAGAGATTGAGCAGACTCTCTGCTGAAATAAAAGTACAGAGATAACTATCATTAAGTGATGAGAGGCAGAGCTGTCAATAGTTCATTGATTGTGCTCCTCTGTACTTCTTTAAGATCTCTTCCTAACACACTGTTTTTTCTCCCTGTCATTGGTCTTCCTCCTTCAGCCTTTCATTCATTTCACTCTCTTGCTTTCTTTTACAGCAAACACTTCCCCTCTCTGACTTCACCTGCTCTCTGTGCTCCATCTATTCATTCTAATTCTGTAACAGCAGCTGTTGCTCGGGGTTTTGCTTCCCCACCTGTGACAACAGTATCTGTCCCTCAGTCAGTGTTGTCTAATTCATGCTGATAAGGAGTTGTAGAGATTGTGTGAAGGGAGAGGATTTCAAATTTCCCTCCTCTTTGTGTTTCTGCAGCTGGCAGAGGCATTTGCCTCCTGCTCGGAAAACACTTCAGCCTCTGTTTTTAACAGCTCTTCTCACAGCCAGCTCTGAGCTGCTTGGTTCCTCCTGATTTTAACTAATGAGACTATTTAACGTTGCCATCTGTGCATATCCAGAGGACTGGTAAGAACATGGTTTCAAAGTGCTTGATTTTTTTCTGATTACTTGCAGCAAAACAAGCCTTTGTGACTGTGAAGGAAAAAAAGACAGGGAAAAACTTTACCTTTGTGCTTTTGACAATATTGTAATATTGGACAGCTGTAATCTCCACAGAGTAAAGGGGATATGCAGTTGTCAGATTTCCAGAGATGCTTTGATGGACCATCTTTCTGAGAAAGTGTACTGGAAAGATAACCTGCCCCACGCTTTAGAAATCCAATAAGTTCCTGAATTTTCATTCAGAAAATCAGATTGCTTTGTAGTTCAGATCTGTCATTTCTTTTAGCAATGCACTGAAATTACTCACAAAACTTTCTACATATCCAAATCACATTATTCATCTTGCCTGAACTGACTTGGCAGAACCGCAGCACTTTCTGGTGATGGTAGTTAAGATTTTATAAGGTTCAGTTCATCTCCTGAAATGTTATTTCTCACTTCCAGGTGCAAAGATTTGGAAACATGTTGCTGCACCTTTTGTCTGTGCTGTGGAAAAGTTCACAGAAATGCTTTTCTCTCGACCATACTAATTTCAAATTTTAGGTGGCATTCTAAGACTGATGCATTTCTGTTCCATAAAGCCGAAAATGAAAGAGAAAATTAGATTCTTAGCAACCCTCCCACCTCTTTGCTCTCAGGATAGGTGAAGACAGGAAGAAATCAGTGCACTTTCCTCCTGCCAGTAATATACCTTGTTCCCAATTGTTACTTCCTATTAATAGTAGGGGAGGTAGCGTAAAGCCAGTGAAACTATCTTTAACCACGGAAAAGTTTTTCCACCAGCTCTTTGGGTTTAGGTTAAGATTCTCATCTAGCTTGAGGATTTCAGAAAGATGAAAGGTTTTTAGTTGATGCTGAAGATTTAACTGTTATTGCTGCAGCTGATTGTGTCATTAGCTCAGCAGTTACTAGGATTCTCTAAGTAAGGTTTTTCATTTTTCTGACAAAAATATCCACAGAGATGTAATAATTGTTATCTTGAAAGTTCCTAAATTTGTGCTAGGAAGCTGTAAATGAAGGTAAATGCAGTTTCTTGGGAATCCAAAGGGTGCATTTCTGGAGTGAGGAAAAAATAACTCTGCTCCACACTGACTGAAGTGCAATGGTCAGATACAAATATGTTGGAAATATTTCCCTTGGTTTAGCCATGTGAGACAGTGGTGCTCAGAAGTGAGTCAATTACTGCTGTTATTCACTCTGATCTGGCAATTAATTTGGAGTCCCAAGATTGCTTCATTATACAACCAGTTCTATGTATAAAAATTCTCTGCAAATATGAGCTAGTTAAGGTGGAATTTTGGTGATGCAGCAATATAGCATAAAGTAAATTGCCTTCAGCAGAGCATTAAGTATATTTTTATGCATTTTTTTCCTGTTATTAGTACATCTACAATATGACTTTCTCAGTTATTTTTCTCTTGTCAATTCAATAATAATTTCATCATTTCAACTTTACCTCTTTGTAAGAGCAACTGCTCTGGAATTATACAAGGTATTCTGACAGTGACAGTGAGTAGTTGCTGATCCTATTCACACTTTACTGTTTCTTTTCTTCCTAGTATGCAAGCAAACTTTGGTCTTTGAAGGGCTATTACATATATATTACATTTCTTTATATGCAAAAGTAATTGAAAAGAATGACATGTCAATATTTCATATAAATGTAAATAAAATTACATTTATGATACACCAGTGTTCTGCACTACTGCAAAACAGCCTACAAGGCTTACTGCTGCTCAACATGCGTCAACATAATAGCATCAAAAAGATCTATGTAACTTTTTTTTAACAAATTGTTAGAAAAGAGAAAAGCAATGGATTTGACCTAACCCTGTCTAAAGATCAGATTCTGCCAAATGCTACCCACCTATCCTAGCAAGCATCCCAGCCCATTTTTCAGTCCAGCTACTTGCAAACTCAAAGGTGTTGCAATAGAAGAATAATAAAGTCCAGTGTTAAAGAGAATTCTACTTTCATGCATCCTTGTAGATGTTCCATAGAGCAGTCATTAAGGTTAACCAAGAATGAGTTTTATGTCTGCACAGAAGTCACTGATATCTTATATTACCATTGCACTACCTGCTATCACAGCCTTTCTATTTTCTTTTGGCATGTCACCATTATTACTGTGAATCAGCTGAACGTATAATCCTGAAGTTTATTTTTTCAGAGTCATGCTTGGATTTTCAAACTACAAAATTCTATATTATTCATGACTACATTTGTTTTACATGACTTGATTTTAAGCTATATTTAACATTCAGTTTTATTCCTCCTCTTGCACAATCTCCTCCCTTTTTTGTGAACCTTAGTATTATAGTGTTACATTCCTCCTGCCTAGTTTCCAGTATACTTATTACACAAATATCCTTATTCAAAACCCATCATTCTAGTTTCCAACCTTATTTCTTAGACTTCTAGTGTATCTACAGAACCACACATATACTAGGTCAGTTTTCTATTTTTCTGTGACATTGTTCAGTTCATGATGGGTATTAATAATCCCTCTATACACTTATTAGACTCCAGCATAAATAATATCATACAAGCTTGTAGCAGAAGGCAGTTACAAGGCATAAGCACACGATTCAATTTATCAAATGAAACCTAAATTCATCATGTGTACACACTCAGATCCTCAAAATATCACTTAGACTCCTCATTCTCTTCAAGTGTATGCTGTAAGAGCCATTATTATTGTCACAAAGTAGTACCACAAGCCCTATAAATGAATCTGTTAGATGTATCCTTGGTTTAAGGTAAGGTATCCTGCAGTACTTTTTCAAAGATAGTCAAGAGTTGGGTCTTTTTCTTTCTTCTTTTTTTTTTTTTTTTTTAATATTATTGGCTATATGCATGTATTTCTGACTGATTTGCCAACCAGGAGAGAAATTTGTATCATTCACATATTTGTGTTTACCTAAAATAAAATTATTTCAAAATAACTGCAGAAACAAGGAAGGCATTCAGATGACAGTGTCAGAAATGTAGGCAATGACAGAGTGGGCTGCAGTCTGTGCAGATGGAGGCGTTTTTGCAGACTTTGCATTGGTATTGGTCCTCAGTAGCCCAGGTAGATCATATTCAAAAAACAGGAGAAACAGAAGCCCTTCTGTTGGGGGAAGTTAGTCCATCATTTTATGAGAGAGATCAAAGAAAAACGTTATCCATTTTCTATCACTATGCAAAACCAGTCTTATAGTATTACAAACATGCCTGTAGCCACTCTTCCTGCAGAGAAAGTCAGTCTAGATGAATGAACACAGAACACTCCCCCAAGAAAAGATGGAGCCTTGCACTAGTAGGTAGAAGATAAAGATTAAAGAATGCAAAAGTTAAGGAATTGGTTTTAATCATACAAAAAATGCCACTAAAACCTCATGGATTATTCCATCTTCTTCAGCCTACTGAAGCTACCCCACAGAGAACTTTTGTAAGATTTTCCACAACGATGTTTTAAATAATTTTAGGGAATCATAGCAATTTCCCTACCTAAGTTTCTGAATTATGAGTTGATGCCAAATACAAAGTCTGAAAACCAGCTTCATTTTAGAGGGAATAACAGCATCTGTGTGTTCACGAAGGAAGTGCACTCTCCTGTCGACGAGCCACTTGTATGCAAGCGCTATGGTTTTCTCTCAGTCTCTTCCTTTGCCAAGTCCTAATTTCCTGTTACAATCTGGGGCTAAATTGATTACTTTTTCCCTATTTGAGTTTACAAACATGCTGTAAACAGGCGAAACAAATCACTTAGGATGATTAAAGCATTCCAACTGTGCCGCTGGATGGGCATTTGTAGGATCCAATTTGGAACATCATTTTGTTTTAAAATCTTCATATGTATTTTTGCTACAATTTTCTAAATAATGTGTTAAAGGAGGAAGATTTTCCTGCCTGCATTAGTCAGTGTGTGCTGTTTTACAAAAAAAGATAAATAAGGATTATTTGTTTATCTTTTCTACTGTCAGGACCATAATGCACAAACTTCAGAAACTTTTATAGTACTTACCAGCTATTTGTCTCTTACGTTATTTGAAAACTGTAACAGAGCTACATGATCATGCTGTCATTATAACCACTGGCTTAAAGGGTTTATCAATGTTATTCGAATTAGGAGTCTCTATTATCACTTCAGAAAAAACAGATTTTCTTGATTTGATGAACCCAAGAAACAAGTACCAAAGATTAAATTGTAGCCAAACTGAGCAGTTCTGAAGGAAACTAGATCTATTCTGACCCCAGCAGACAAGAAAACAGTCTTGAAGGAAAAGACCACTGCAGCAAGCACACCATGATGCACCAGCCATTATATCTTGCAGCCCAACTAATATCTCATTAAGTTCAATGAAAAGACTCTTGCTGACTTCAGTAGTACTTAGCTAGGGAAAAAGACTAACACAAGCCAAAGCTGGAAGGAAAGCAATGACAGTGGGATATAGCATGATCACAGCAAATGAAATCACCTGCTAATGACTCTAGTGATGAAACTAAAGCACTACCTAAAAATTTTTTAGACTAATACATAGAGCAGGTATTGCAGGTATTGAACAATCCACATTCTTGCACATGTTGTCTCAAGTCTCTCCCTGCACATGTTTGCATCCCTAAGTTTCTAAATGTGCATACTCCTTAAACACTAACACTTGGAAGATAATTATATGTTGGATGGGGTAATAATAGTAATAATTGTAATAATGCTAAATTGTCAGTTGTGGGTAGTTGGAATACATAGGGGCAATATCCTACGTCGTGCATCTACACATTGCCTCCTCACCTCACTAATTTTCGGAGCATGGAACCTCTAGCCTGTGCTAGCAGGAGCTTTCATTCCTGATGGAAACTCCCTGGCCAAAATGGACAAAGATCAAAGGCAAGGGCCAACTGAAAAATTACCTACTGCTCCTTCAGGCGGAGGCTAAAGAGACAGACAAACAACTTAACACCCTTAGATTCCGATAATGGCAAGATAAACTTTCCAGCAAACAAAATGATAGACAGGGGTGGCTAAGCCTCCTTTGCAAATGACAACTAACAGTGCAGGAAGGACTCAAGTCTCTTCTAGGCTTCTTTTGGCTACAGAGATTAACATCCAGAGACAGCTCCACTATAGAGGTGTTTTTTAACCTGCAACTGAGAGTCATTCCACATTTTCCACTATCCTTAATTATGGCAATGACGGTTTCTCTAGGAAAATGCTACCAAACTGATGACAAATTTGAGTGAGTGTAACAATTGCAGCTATAAAGCAATAACTCACTATGTTAATTAAGCAATTTTGTTTCTAAGAAAAGCCACTTAGGGAACAAGTTAGCTACTTCATTGTAATTGTTAGGGTAGTGGCAAAATACAATAAATTAGATTTGTTATCAAAGACTCCATAGTAGAGAGCTGTCAATCCTCTCTGGTCAGCTCAGTCCTTCCTGCACAAAGGCACTACTGGGAGAATGGTCAAGGCTCCTCCACCTCTTTCCCATCTTGTTTGTTAGAATGACTGTCTGCTATGTTTTTGTGATCTATCTTGTGCAAAAGCTAGGCTGTTGGCTTATCACTCACATTTCAACAAGAAAAAGAAGACGACTGCTTTTCATCTAACCCTTGTCCTTTGCCTTTCCTCATTCAGACAGCCATGAGTTAAAATTTCCCCCAGTCCAGCTGTATGAGTCATTTTACACAAACAATCCACATCTTTAAAGGGCAGTCACCAGACAGGGAGGTATAACAAGAGAATTCTATCTTAGACAAAGACAATTACTGATGGTACCTATTGGGACTAAGAATAATAAAACTGGGAATAAGAATAATGTGAATGTAATAGAAATCTGACAATAGCACATAAAAGAATGTCAACGTGCAATCTGAAGAAAACTAGCAATTGAAAGGAAATATTCCAGGCTAGGAGGAGATGCCTTAACAGTCCCACAAGCATGTGCAAATAATGACTTTTTTAAGGGTTATCACCTACTACAGGTAAAGATCATCAAGTATTTTGGACAGTATCTGACAGCCCACGCTCAAGCTATCTCAATTTGAAAGGCAGGACTCATGACTGCAAACTTATCTTCATTACTAAGTTGTTCTTGCTCTTTGGAGAAGGGAACTAGAGGGTAGAGGGCAACAATCCAACTGTTGTATATTTTCATGAGATGTGCTGCTCTCTCAGGATAAGACACCCAGCACTCGAATAAGATTATTTCATAGTTTGTATGTAACACTAACAGCATCAGTTTAGCTGAAAAAAAAAAACAAAAAACCACAAAAAGCAGGTAAAGGAGAGGGGAAGTAATTACCTTGTGGAAAAAAACAATTAAGTGCAGTAAAAACAATGCAAAATGAATAGGCTTGAAATTTTAGATAAGGAAACTGATGATTCAGAACTGAAGTTGTTTTAGATCACTCTCTGTTTCTGACAGCATTTTGATGTTTTAAGGTATTAGCACAGCTATCATGTCTGCTAGAGGCTGAGTACCAGTACGATGGCAGATGTTAGGTTTATCACATATTTGATGGTTAACTATAAACAGAGTTATTTTTGCTAAAAAAAAAAACCTATTCTAAAATTATCCATCTCTCAAGTATGAAATTTCCAAAAAGTAGGAATATCTTGAATGAAATTTGTTTGCCATAACAAGTAAATATGGATGCAGAAGATTACTTGCACAAATTCTTATCAGGACCATTATCTTATGAATATCATTATTATTGTCCTGTAGCTAATGTCTGTAGCTAAATATCTTGGACAAGTGTGCCTAGAACCTAGGTGTGTACTGTAACAATTAGGACATGTTACACCTTCCTTCATTTTAAATGAGTGCTACTCTTCTAATTGTAGGAGAACTGAATTTGTTAACGCAAAAAAGAATTTATTCAAATTTATGGCAGTGTATACATGGATTTCAATTCAAATCCTGCTTGGATTTGGAAGCACAGGCCAAGCAGTCACCTCGCAGTATGAGAAGGGTTCTCATGATCTAAAGCCAAGGCAGAAGATGAGAACACAAAAAACAAGCATCATTAATGGCTTTGAAATTTTTGTATCTATGAATGTCAAAAGAACAAACATAGACAAGAAAAATAACAATATTTGTATATCAGTGTAACTTCAGAATAGGACCTACTAATTTATGCTTGCTTATCTACAAAATAATTTCTCTGTGAGTGTAAGTGAATTTATGGTTGTGTTTTGACCTGCCTGGCAGCGAAACACCACACAGCTGCTCACTCACTCTCCCCCCTCCCAGGGATGGGGGAGAGAATTAAAGGGCTAAAGAGAAAAGAGACTTATGTGTTGAGATAATAATAATTTAATAATTACAATAAAATTGAAAATAATAATTATAATAGTAATATATACAAAAGAGTGATACACAGTGCAACTGCTCACCAGCCAATGACCAAGGCTCAGCCCATTCCCAGCTGACAATCCCAGGGCAGGGAGAGTCTCAAAACTGCAATCCTGGAAAAGAGATGAGAGCCCACGGGTCCAAGAGGGTGAGAGAGGGCAAAAGATGACACCAGGATAGAGGGGTAGGGAGAAACTTCCGGACAGATCCTCATCTATATGCTGGGCATGACATGCACAATATGGAATACACCGTTGGCCAGTTTGGTTCTCAAACCTATTTACTTGCAGTAAACTTTTTATTGATTTTTTGCATGTTCTGAAGTTATCAGCGTACATGGATTGGCAAAACAATCATAGAACAGCGAGAAGAAGGCTATCCTACCTGAGAACACAGGGACTGAGAAAGCAAATGAGATGTTTTCATGCTTTATGCATCTATTTCTTTTGGTGCTTTTATGCTTCTACATTGCCTGAGGAAAGGCTCATATTGCTGCTCTCTCAATCTCTGTATGAACCAATTGTGGTCTGAGGCTCTTTGGCAGACATTCCAAAGTCAGCCTATGTCTACTGAAATAAATGCATGCAGACTTATCAGGTTCCTGTAGCTTTTGGACAGATGACTAATAACCGTGACAGCTTGGCTGTTAATTTTTTAATTAGAGATAAATCCTGTATTATGTCGCGGAGTAGCAGAGGTTCCAGCTGTATTGTTGCTTTTCGATCCAGTTGTACAGTAACAGGATTAACTAACTCTTTGAGAAATAGTTGCTTTACTGGTATACTTATGGTTAAGTGGATGTCACAAAGTTTTAAAATAATATCCAATGAATTTTCTTTTTCTTTTCGACACTGCCTTCATGGGGGCTGAACCACCCAAGGGGCACAATGCCATCAGAACTGCAGGATGTCAAATGTCTCTGCTTTTATCCTTCTCCCAACCCTAAGCTTTGGTTGATTCTAGACCATCCTAATTTCTGAAGCTTTCTTATGCACAGGTTTTTGCTTTGTTTTACAGATACATGGCCATTATTGATCCCTTGAAGCCTAGGCTCTCTGCAACTGCTACCAAGGTGGTCATTGGGAGCATATGGATTTTGGCTTTCCTGTTGGCCTTTCCCCAGTGCCTATACTCCATAACCAAGGTGATGCCTGGGAGAACTCTTTGCTATGTAGCATGGCCAGGTGGTCCAAAACAGCATTTTACGTAAGATTTTGTTCTTTTAAACTTGTGCATGGTGGTGTCTACACTTGAAATAGACTTTGGAAAAGCTGTAGGGTATCATGCAGATACTCTACATGCAGAATAACTAATGACACTGATCACTGAGAAATGTAAAGCAAGCTTTCTAAGCTAGGAAGACTGAGCATTTTAAGTGATAAGTGGAACACATTTATACTCTTCCACTCCTGTGAGTGTTCTCCATCCCATGCTGCATGTTTACCATCATTGCCTCACTTAAGATGGCTACTTCTATGCAGATAGAGATGGTCAGAAATGGGGACAGAACACACAATTTGAAGCAAGTATCCTTTCCATCCTAAACAGGAAATAAATATTTCCAGCCTCTCCTTGTCCTAATCAGATTTTTTTTCTCTAGATCTCTTCACGAGAGGGTTGGATTTTCCCACTCATTCTGTTACACTATCACAATTAGTTATCTCAGATATCAGTCCAAATGAGAAAACCGTAAAACCTATAACTGGTTCCAGTTTCTGAAAGTGTAGAATAACCGTTGATTAAATTGAATATGTTCTCTTTGTCCCTCTGGCAGAATTTGGAATAAATGGTTACCTAGCCATAGAAACATTTCCTGCCCTTTCATGTCTTCATTGGCATTTAAGATGAACTCTGTGTTCAAGGCTGAAAGCCTGTATAATCATCCAGCATCAAATTTAACCTTTTGCTCTCTTTCAAGCAGGTGAAAGAGGCCCTGGTCATAAATAATTTTTATCACTTTAGGAGCCATGCACTGATATTTCTCTTTAGGGCAGTAAGGTCACTCTCAGTGATGGCTGGGGATTCTTCACTGATCATTCACTATGATTTTCTCTGAAGATGGCATTTAACCAGGAACTAACAGGAGGCAAAAAAAGTTATTTTTTTTTCCCTTGTGCCTACATCAGCAGTGATGACTCTGTTGCACATAGGCAGCAGATCTGCCATGTGAACTACATTGGGTAACACAGGACACTTATCAGGGCCTTTGTATAAATATCCCATTTAAATACTCATTTTCCTCTTTCATTTATGGTCCAGACTAGAGCTCGAAATGCTTTTCTTGCTCTTAGAATACTTGGCTGTACAATAATTAAATCAGTTCAGCTAGTTATGGGTAAACATACCTTATTCTGCAGTCACTAATCACGATAACTACAGATTTATTCTTAATTTACACTAGTGCAAGTTCAGAGTCAGAGCTAGAAACCCAATAAAGCATTTGCATTAAAATGTAAATAAATTTGCAGTGCAATTCAAGACTTTCAAAAAGACAGTGGGAACACCAAGGACAAGCCAGTCAATGTAAAACATGCTTTGTGCTACAGTAGCACTCTTGACTTCTAGCAGCCCATTCCATTGGTTTAGCTCCTCTGAAAGCACTTATCAGCTTAATGCTTTTTCATTGCAGGTATCACGTCATTGTGATTGTGCTGGTCTACTGCTTTCCACTGCTTGTCATGGGCATCACTTACTCCATAGTGGGAACTACCCTCTGGGGAGGAGAAATACCAGGCGACACCTCCAACAAATATCACGAGCAGCTCAAAGCTAAGAGAAAGGTACTGTTCCATTAAATCTCACTAAGTGAATCCTGATAACGTCATCTGCAATTGTGGTGCAAAGTATTGCAGTATATTCCTTCAGAAACACCAAGTCACTTGAAATAACAGTAACAAGAGATCTACTTCAATAAAAAAATTAAGTTTGACAAGCTGTCTTCTATGTTCATTAGCTGTTCTTTTTGTGACTTTATTTTTCATCTATTGGGATTTTAAATTCTTACTTCACGTGTAGCAGCATATACTGTGTCTGATATGTGGAAACTAAGCCCAAATATTTATCCTGTACAGACCTAAAATACTGAGCTTTGAACGACAGGCTGGCAAACCATTAGCTTCCCTTAGGTCATATCCTCATCCTACTGAAAGAAAAGGGAATCTTGTCATAATTTTCAGTAGATTAAGGTCCACGCATCTTTGAGATGAGTGCTGATTGACCTGTTCATACTAAATAATTCAGGTTTTAAATCAATAACTTTTGGTGAGAAATACAAACTATTTTTTCTCAGTTATTTTTGTTCAACCTATTTCAGTGTAAGTGCTGTCTAATCTAGCAAGACTGTGGATTGTTTATGAAAAGATTATTTAACTATTTTCAGTTCAGTTTTCATCCAGTTGCAGTGCCATGAAGGTTAGTTTCAACATTCTTTTTCTTAACCTAACTTTTCTTCTTTAATAAGGCAGCCCTTCTGCTTTTTATTTCTGAAATTTTTTTCATACTAAAATGCATTTAACATTCTAGATTTGAAAGAATCGTACCCAAACATGGACTTCTAACCCACAATGATCAGCACAGTTTCAATTGCTCACTTTGCTTTCTGCTATTGCGAATATGTTAACAGTGGC